AAAAATGCCTCAGTCTGAATTAACACCTGGCTGGATCCCAAAATTTGTGTATTTGTACCAATATTACCCTGGTGATCCTGAGTCAGTGCAGAGCGAATGGGATTCAGTCCCGTGTTTGAACACAAAGAGAATTCACCTGAGTATGGACTTCAGGTTTTCAGTGAGGTGTCATCTGAAAGAACAACCTTCTCTCAGTCTCCAAACTGAGTAGGTCAGGGAGAAACTTGGCTGATTTTTGGAGGGGGTTTGGTTTTGTTTAGCTGAGGAGTCCATCATGGAGATTTTTGAGAGAGTAATGCCAACTTCTGCCTTTGCTGACGTTCCTTTAGTTGTATTTCTACATGTTGTCCTGTGTTTCTCCCTCAAAGCAGGATTTTGGAGGGATTTACTGTCACGTGGAGGTGTTGCTGGATGGTACTGGTGTTTTCCTTGCTGGCATTTAAAGGATTGCCTTGCCTATAATGCCACAATGTGTGGGGCTGGCTTTTGTCGTTCCACAGATTTCCAGATATTTAGTTGTTCATCTGTAGATAAGTGCTTCATAGTATTAGAGCAGCTGACCTCCGAGTGTGGGAGAGAGAACTTGGAGTCCACATGCCAAGAAGGAGATCTATGCAGATATAACCTCTTTTTATTAAAAATCAATAAATAAAATAACCCATCTGCCTATGATAGCTTGATTACTGTTGTGCCTCAGAACTTGTCATGTCCAAGGGCTCATGTGACTGAGGTTTTTCGATGGTTTGCATCGGATCTTGGTGCTCTCCTCTCTTTAATGCGTTTTTGACTCAGTATCTCTGCTGTCATCTCTGCTTGTTCAACTCGAGTGTTTCTCTTGACGTTCCTGGTTGCAGCCTGTCACTGATGAAAGCTGGGTTAGAGTATTTGCTGTAAATCCATTACAACACAGCAAGATGTTGCTACCTGTTCCACACTGGAAGATGTGTCTTACATCTGGGCTTTGGAGAGGGAGATGGATTTCTTGCGGTTCTAGGGGAGGAAAAAGGAAAAAAAAAATCAGTTTTCATTTTGGGCATCGCTACTTAAAGCATTGCTGTGCTTAGGTTCCAGAAAAGATATTTTATTTAAGCTGGTGTTTGTCTTGGCATTCCTTATGGGGTCACACAGGGAAGGTGGTCACTGTGCTGTTCATGACTCTCCACTGCTGGAAAAAATCCCTTTCCTTCAGGGTCTACCTCAGACTTTTTCTAACTTTAGAGCAGATTTGGCATGAAAAAAGTCCTGTCTGTAGGACTCAGTTTTGGGTGGATACTCTCACTCAGTTGAATACTAACGGGCTGTGAAGCCCCAGCAAGTGAAGGACGTGTGGTGAGTGGCCAGAAGGTCAGACTGCTGCTTGTAACAGCTTCAGGAGAAAGAGGTGTCTGATGCTGGTTTTCAGGCAAGCCACGGCTGTTTATTTTGGGTTTTTCACCTCTCTGCTGAGAACCTCTGCCAGAGGCTGCATCTCTTGGTAGGGACAACAGCGAATGGGATGGGAGTTGCAAGGAAACCACTGACTGGTCCATATAGCCTGGGGAAAGTTATCGTCCCCAGGGCACAGTTATGTAGGGTGCCTGGTCTGCCACTGCCGAGCCCTGCTCTGCCTGATTTGGTTTTTAAATTATAGTCCTCTTGCAAACTCCAGAGGTTGTGTGTGGTCAGTTTGGCCTCTTGTGCAAGAAGAATTCCAGTTTTGGAGGAAATTGTCTGTATGTCTTGATGAACATCCTCCTAATTTCCAGAACCTCTTTTTTCTTATCAGAAAAACATGGATACACAAAAATGTTTGCTCCCCACAGAGCACTCTGGTTTGGGCCCAAGCCACGAGCGACACCCTGTGTGTAACGGGGTGTAAGGGGTCAGTTACCCCAAAACATGTCTGGAAGAGTCTTGACATTTAGAAAAGCAATGTGCAAACCACCGTGGCTTTCAATTCCTGAGTTTCTTTTAGTTAATGCATATATAAGCAAGACAATTAAAACACATTGGATTTATTTCAAATAGATAATCTAATTATCAGCTTGATTAAACCATATCAAATGAACAGTTCTTGTAATTCACTAGCTTTGTTCTAATCACTGCAAAAGCAGTAGTAGCTTTAATTAAAAGCCTCAGAAGTGGCAGACCGGTGTCGATTGTGTCAATCGAAGAGTGTTCCAGACGCGTACCTGATGGCAGGGAAGATCAAACAGCTCCTCGGTTGGTGCTGATATGACGACCAACTCTTTGGTGCCAAGAAAAGGAATCTGAGTATTTCATAAATACCATTAAATGCCAGCCAATGTCCTTTTCTGCTCTTTCCAATGCTCAGATACAGACTTAATTAAATCTATTCCAATATCACTCAATTAGGCAGACTTTTTAAAATGTTTGTAGGTTAGTATCACCGACCTGTATCCTTTCTTAGTGTTGGACCTGCAGCTTCTTCCATGAACGTGTGCTCCTTCAGGCTGCAGAATTGCCCAGTTCCTCAGACACCTGACACGAGCCTGCAGCAGATCACTTGCCAAAGTTGAAATGCAGAGTGCAAAGGCGCATAACCCTTCTGCTAAAAATGGGACAGAAACACTAAACGTCGTGTTTAGTTTGCTGGATCACTCTGGGGAGCCAGCCCCTGGCTGAAGGGGCTCTCTGGACAGGATCCCAGAATGGCCTGGATTGGAAAAGCCCTTTCAGCTCATCGAGTCCAACCATGAACCCAACACTGACCAGTCCCCTGTGACTAACCCATGTCCCTCAGCACTGTGTCTACACGACTCTTCAATCCCTCCAGGGATGGGGACTCCACCACTGCCCTGGGCAACCCCTTCCAATGCCTCAGAACCCTTTCAGCAAAGAAATTCTTTCTCACATCACATCTCAACTGCCCTGGCCACAACTGGAGCCCATTTCCTCTTGTCCTGTCCCTTGTTCCTTGGTTGAACAGACCCACCCCCACCTCTCTCCACCCTCCTCCAAGGGACTTGGACAGAGCCAGAAGGTCTCCCCTCAACCTCCTGGATGATGTTGTTCTTCTCGTATCACTTGCTTACTAAGTACTTAGTGGCCGTTTAGTAGTCAACTTGTCCCCATGGTGTGGTCAGAACAGCTGGGATGTTCTCATGGCATGACTGGGTGAGCTCACCACCTCTGCTGCTGATGCTTTGGGTGAAGGCAGTCAGTAGTTGTCTCCGCTTCTTCTGGGTTTGGTGCTTCCTCCTCACCTTTCCACAGAGACTTCTTGCAATGTAGGGCTTGGAGGGAGCTGTCCTCCTCCCCAGGCTGCCAAGCCATTCCTCCTACCTTTGCAGGACAAGTTCCCTCTTGGGGTAAGTCCGAGCCAGACCGCTTCTGTAAGGTTCTGCCTGGCCGGGGAAGTCCAGCTGTGCCGAAGCTGCCCGGTCCACCAGCCGCTTCCTTGGGGTGCTGGTGTTGGTGTGCTCAGCCCTGCCTTCAGCGAGGCGGTTCCTGTTCAAGGGCAGATCCTTATCTCTTTCTTTTTATATTTTAGCAATTTGTGTTGGTTTTGAACAGTGACTTGACATAGCATCTAGATGAGAAGCCAGGAATGACGTACAGATGAGTAATTCTTTTTCCTCCCGTAAATGTATTTTTCGGGCCTTTCTGCTGATTTAGTTGTTTAATGTCCACAGTGTTTATAAAATGCGACTGTAGGGAACAACAGCAGCAGTGAGTAGCCAGGTTCTAACCTGCATAGGGATTTGCATGTATTTAATTTATTAATGTTGGAAAATCTCTGCTTAATAGCCCAAGTTTACTTTTCACATGAGTAGGTGGACTTTTTGTTTTTCTTCTGTCTAATTGTTTCAGAAAACGCCAATGAAGCAGCCTGCCTGTATCAACACGCAAGCAGTTAAATACCTGGAATTTATTTCTGCCGCGTGCCCTGGACCAGTGTTCGGATCAGCTCTAGCAGATCTGATGAGAATTCCTCACGCGTTAGAAACAGCATCGGTGCAGCGGGGGCCGTGCTTGGAGTGGGAGCCGAGCGAAGCAGCTTTCTGGTTTTCCCAGCTGCTGTGGCATTTGCCATCCCCGCCTGGCTTTTAATTACTATCCTGTTCTGTGGCTTAATATTAAACCACATCTCATTGCATCCTGTCTCTTAATTGGCTTAACTGGCCATCACCCAAAAAGACTCTACTGTGTATAGAAACAAGCTTCCCCAAATATTTCCTAATTGGCAGTTGGTGCTTTGTGAGGAGATGGGTCCCTCGCAGCGATATTAATAGATGTTTTCTTCTGTTCATTCTCAGGATTGGACATTGATCCTATGACGCATGCCCGGAAGAAACAACTTTTCCTTCTGAAACATCCAGCTGGTTCTGCTGGCCAAGCTTCGTCACCCACAGGCAGCAGGAGGATGGACAGGACCGACGCAGAGTGTGGCGAGCAGAGAGACGGAGATGCCACCACCGAGGCTCTGAACTGTCCGGGTGGGTTTGTGGGGACAAACAAAAGCAAGAGTTTGCATGAAGTGCGGAAGACGTACCCGCTGCGGAGACGTCTGCTCCCCTCCGTGAACAAAAAGACCTGCAAGGTGCTCCTCACCAGGCTGGAGGATGTGGCTGGATCTCTGTCGAAACAGACCCAGAGCTGTAAAAAAAAGGACCTTCCCAGTTGGATGGAGGGTTTGGGACCTGCTTTGTTCTCTGAACAAGTTCAGCCTGTGGGAGCGACTCATCTGGGGAAAAGTGCACAATAACTTATCCAGGGGCAGAGCAAGACCTTGATACTGCTCCTTCTGAGCCCAGGAAGCGCAGGCTGGCCTCGCTGAACGCAGAGGCCGTGAACAATCTGCTGTTTGAACGGGACGATGGCTTATTATCCAGCAGGCGTTTCCGGAGGGACTCCGTTAAAGCTGGTGGGGACTGCACCGTAAAGAGCTTGCATTGCAAAGCTGGTGACAACTGGCCTGCACTGGAAAAAACAGCTGTGAAAGCAGGTAAAGGAAAGAACCGGCACGAGCCCAGTCAGAAATGCAATAGCTGTGACCACTCACTGGATGAGGTCTTTGATGATGGGACAAAGAGGGAGGATGGTGCCATCTCCTATCATCCCACCCCAAAGAGACTGGCCAGCCTGAATGCTGTGGCCTTTCTGAAGCTGACCCATGAGAAAGACCAACCCCTGAAGCAGAGGAGTAAATCGGACGGAGAGGGCAAGTCCGAGAACCACTGTTCGAAATCCACGCTCAAATGGGCCAAAGCCGGTAGGAAGAATTGCGTCAAATCCAAGAAGGAAGTGGCTAGCTTGAAAATGGAGGGTCAGCACGGCTGGCGAGGACTTGCTGTAGGTGCTTTTGGGAAAGGGGAGCAGCGGGACTCCTCCAGGCTCTATGGGACGGCAGAACCCGTCCTGTACGAGTCGCTGTCTAGCTCCTACGCTAGCACAGAGGGTTTCTACCACAGACTGCCTTTGCTTATGGGTGGACAAGCTTCCATGAAGCCAGAGTACGGAAGACCTGGAGAGAAATCTCCAACCCCCAAACAGGAATTTCATCAGCCTTCCTTTCCTGTGCAGCAGTTCCCTCCCTTGCCCGTGCCCGGAAATCACACGGATTGTGGATGTCTCTATGAATCCTCAGATCTGACTCCGTTAAACGGGACAGACTGCCTTTGCTTATGGGTGGACAAGCTTCCATGAAGCCAGAGTACGGAAGACCTGGAGAGAAATCTCCAACCCCCAAACAGGAATTTCATCAGCCTTCCTTTCCTGTGCAGCAGTTCCCTCCCTTGCCCGTGCCCGGAAATCACACGGATTGTGGATGTCTCTATGAATCCTCAGATCTGACTCCGTTAAACGGGTTTTAGGCCAAAGTGGATACAGTGGCTACTCTCACTGCTCCGTTTACCCCAAGGACGAGCTTTCGCAATCTGCTACCTGTGAGGGGCTCTTGGTATCGCCCGGTTCCTTGCCATCGGGTGCTCATTTCCAGCCACTCCACTGGTGTAACTCCCCGTACTGTTGCGGAGAAGGAACAACAATTAACAGCTACAGCGTCTGCGGGGTCGTGCACGTGCCGGAGGGCAGGATCAGCAGCGTGCACGCGGGACGGAACAGCTACCCCTACAAAATGCCTTTTGCAGCAGGTAAGGTGCAAAGTGCGAGCACATCTCGTTTGGCGTTCCTAGGAGCAGAGGGCTGGTTGGGCATGGTGGCTAACGAAGGTACCTGGTTGCCAGGAGGCAAGCTACCTCTGTGCACGGTGTGTCTCGGCTTTTCTGTTGGCAGGGTGTTGCCCGGCTTCGGCAGCCGAGCTGCGACTCGGAAAGAATCTGCTTTTCACCTCCCCTTCCCTCATTTTTAGCCCTGAGGGTTTTTCCCACAGAAAGGTCGTACTGGTGTGGAAAGCGTAGAATCGGTGAAAGGACTTGGGCAGTGAGGAGGTGACTCATGACTTGTCATGTTGGAGCTGACCGCTTGGCTTTGATCTGTGTAAAATGAGGTGGTTTTAGTTCCTACACGTTCTGCGAGGCTCCTCACCGCCCTGCTCCAGGCTCAGGGTCCAGAGCACGCCGGGCTGAGTTACTCCTGCGCTCCCAAAAGCTCGCTCTCGGGATGGAGGATCCTGGCAGAGCAGAGCGGTGTGGAGGAGCAGGCGCTGCCTCGCTCGTTGGACTCTTGCTGGTGCAGGCTGGATGGGGAGAGAGTGCAGCCTTCTGAGATGTTCTGGATCACATCCGGCAGGGCTGTGTAACGATTCGGTTCAGCCCACGGTTTGAGCAGATGCTTGAATGTCACAGCACAGATGGAAGTGCTGGGTACACCCTTCGCTTGGTGAGTAGAGGTCCCACCTTTGCTCTTAATGCCTGAAATGTGGCACTGAAATGAGAACAGGTGACGGTGTAAGAGGTGGTGTCATTATTCCCCTGGCTCTCGTGTCCCCTGCCTGTTTCAGACTTTGTCCTCCAGCATGCTTTATCTCAGAGCTTTCCCTTTGCTATTGAAAAATGTCTTTTGAAGCATTTAAAGCTGGATTGTTGTGGGGGGGTGATGAGACACCAGTAACACCAGTACTTTACACCAGTACTTTGTATAAAAGCCATCAAGCTAGACAGTGCTGCTGTCTGAAAACAGTTGGGTCTGTGGACCAAAGCTGCTGCTTCAGCTTTGGGGAGTGTAGATATCGGTCCTTCAGGTACCTGTGTGTTGGAGGCAAAGGGAGGCCAGGCTTACCCCACTGCAAACAGACTTTCAGGTAGATGAAGTTCTGGTTCAGCGCTCGCTGAAGCTGAGCAAAGCTTTGTCATCTTCCCCTGTAGGAAGCTGCTGAAGCTCAGGAGCGTTTGGTTGAAGTGTAATCTCTGTTTTCCCTAAATATCCCTGCTGTCGTGGTGCCGCTTCCTACGGTGGCAGCCAGACAGCGTTCGCTGGTGGCTTCAGCGCTCCTCAGAGTTGGATGCTTGTGAGATGAGTGGCTCAGCAACGTGTTCCTGTCTGACAGTTTTCTGTGTGATGCCCCGAGGTCACGTCACTCTGCTTTGTTCCTGCAATGTTGTGTTCTGGTGCCTCTGAGTTGGTGCGAGCAGAGGGATGCAGGTGGTGCAGACAGGGTGGCTTTTGGAGTTGAACCCTCCCTGTGATCTCGGTGGTGCTGGCAGGGGCAGTGGTGGTTCTGGGGACACGGAGTTACTAACGATGTGTCACCCCACTGCTGAGATCTTCCTTGGTGTGATTTCCTCCCTGTGAGCCACTTTGATTTAAAAGCCTACAGCGTCGGAATACCTGAGGCTTTGTTTTGTGAATTGAAGTGTACAAAGAGGTCTCCTAGAATATTAATGGGGACCTGTGCTTAGGAGTTGATTTTTATGTCTGTGGGCGCCTCTGAAATCCCCCCTTCCCTCCTCGAGTGGGTTGTTTTGGTGAATTAAAGGAGTATTTTGGCTACAAGCAACAGGCTCCCGTCCGAGAGCGCACTGGTATGAGGGCATCCAGCTTGACATGTCACATGCCTTCTGTCTTGTGGGCGCCTCTGAAATCCCCCCTTCCCTCGAGTGGGCTGTTTCGGTGAATTAAAGGAGTATTTTGGCTACAACCAACAGGCTCCCATCTGAGAGCACACTGGTATGAGGGCATCCAGCTTGACGTGTCACATGCCTTCTGTCTGTCTGTCTGATCTGATGTGTTTGAGGTGTTCTTACGGAAATATCAGTGTGTGTGGTACCAGTCAAGGGATCAGGCTGTGGTCTGCCACGCGCAGCAGAGGCATTGCTTTCCCCGTCCCACGGGTGGGTGGCAGCGTGGAGGCTGGAAGCAGGGTGGTGGGGATGAGATGGGACAGGCTGTGGGAGATGCTTCAGCCCAGGTACCAGTGCGGGGGCTGGAGGTGTGTGCAGCCGAGGAGGGAGTCCTGGGGGTACAACTCTGCCCTGCTCTCCTGAACTTCAGGAGATATTTTTGTGAAGCTTCATCCTGCTTCCGTTCAAGCTTGAAATCTGCTTTTGTAAGCAAAATACTGAAGGGGTGATTCACTGCTCAGTGGGTCCTGAGCCTGCCAAGGCCAGGCAGGTACCTGGACTCGCATCCTGACGTCTTGGCTCGTGGGGGAGTTGCTGTGGTGTTGGCTGCTCAAGGTCGGCGGAGTCTCATGACGTCCGTAGCAGCCCTCATGTTCCTGTGCAGCAGCAGCTTTGGTGGAACCCTCTTAGGGAGGGTCAAGTGGGAGACAGGAGGCAATAATTTCCTGTTATTGCAGGGGGTTCTCCGCAGTTACTCAGCTGGAGCTTGGTGACTTCAGATGGTTTTTCACTTTTAGATTTTGTTGTTGTTGTTAGCAGCCCTGCAGCAGTGCAGTCCCGCAGATCTGCTAGGACATGCTCCAGGCTGGAGGCATCTCCTGAGGGTTGCCTGAAGCTGCCCTTTTGGTCACCCCAAAAAGCAGGCTTTCAGATTCAGGGAATTGAGAAGCATTGTAGGTTGGTCTGGGAGCTTCCTTCCTGCT